AAACCCTCGACTCCAAACACAACGCACTGAGACATCGCTGAGGCTGCAGTATTCCTTGGCGCTGTTGCGATGCGTGATCTCTCATTGTTTAGGGCTTAGGGTTTAGGGTCTAGGGTTTAGGGTTTAGGGTTTAGGGTTTAGGGTTTGGCTGCAGGAGCCTGCTGCACTACCGGCACAAGGCGCGGTGGCCCGAAGTGCTGTCGCTTTGTGGAGAAGCTGCTGCTGCAGTTGAAGTCTGCGCCTACAGGGAGTTTTTAGTTTCTCTCGTAAACGCTAAACCCTAAACCCTAAACCCTAAGCCCTAAACCCTAAGCCCCAGCTGCAAACCCTAGCGCCGCAGAGCGAGGCAGGTATTGGCGAGAAGTGCGCAGGAGAGACTCTGGCTTCTTCCAGGGGACGCACCAGCGACAGGGTTTAGGGTTTAGGGTTTAGGGTTTAGGGTTTAGGGCTGAGCCCCCAGCCCCCGGCCGCAGACGCGGGCAGCCTCGCCCCCTTTTTGGACAAATTTTATTCTGCTGCATTTTCTTCCTTCGAGCCAGTCATCTCGACTTTGTGGGAGTTGCTGCTGGCAGCAGAAGGCACAGAGCAGCAGCAGCAGCAGCAGCAGCAGCAGCAGCAGCAGAGGGGCGCTGCAGGCGGGGCGGCGGGCAAGACGCCCGCATTCCTGAGGGCCAAGCAGCAGGAGCTGAAGCTCTTCAGGTTCGAGAACTCCGAACCCTAGCGACAAACCCTAAACCCTAAACCCTAAACCCTAGGCCTCAGAAGGCAAACGCTCATGCAGCAGCAGCCATAACTGTCTTCTTGTACAGCAAATGAGGAGATGAGGGGGCTTTAGGTATAGCGCTGAGGGTTTAGGGTTTAGGGTTTAGGGTTTAGGGTTTTAATCGGAATTCGTGGGTATCTCCGTTGAGCTCTCGCTGCTACTGCAGGGCTTTAAGTATAGTGCTTAGGGTTTAGGCTTTAGGGTTTAGGCTTTAGGGTTTAGGGTTTAGGGTTTTAGTCGAAATTCGTGGGTATCTCTGTTGAGCTCTCGCTGCTGCTGGTGCCTTTGCTGCTTGCTGCTCCGCAGCAGCAGCAGCAGCAGCAGCGTCGTGACGTTTCTTGCTGCTCCCGCTGCCAGCACTGCCCACCTGCCGCTGCTGCTGCTGCTGCTGCTGCTGCTGCAGGCCGCAGCTGGACTTCGCGTTTGGGACTTGCGTGCGGGTGTTTGGCTGCTGCCGCGTTTTGGGGGAGGAAAAGAAAAGTTCTGTTTGCAGATTGTTTTTATCTTTTGCTGCTGATGCTGCTGCTTCTTTCGAGACTTTTGCTGCTGGCAGCAACGTGTGGCTGCTGCCGCTGCTGCAGCGCTTCGTCTGCAGAGACCAGCTCAGCTTCTTTGTCCAGCATGTGCTCCCGGCGGTCAGACAACCCTGCCGCCGCTGCTGCTGCTGCTGCTGCTGCTGCTGCTGCACTTGCAGACGCTGCTGGCCCAGGACCGCCTGCTGCAGCTGCTGCTGCTGCACACCGGGCAGGCGCAGCGGCGTCGGGTGGTGCTGTGTGGGTGCGGCTGTGGGTGCTGCTGCTGCTGCTGCTGCTGCAGCGGGGGCTTGCGCGCTGCTGCTGCTGCTTGCCTGCAGGCTGCTGCAGCGCAGCAAAGAGCAGAAGCAACAGCAGCAGCAGCACCGGCGGAGAGCAAGGACTGGGTTCGGGTGTACAGACAGCTGTGGGGTTTGCTGCCAGCCTTTGCTTCGCAACCACTGGACCTTTTTTGCTGCTTGGAAGCAAAAAGTTGGAAAGAAGAATTAAAAGGAGTTGAAGCAGCAGTTGGGGGTTCAAAAGAAGATTTAAATTCTCCAAAAAGTGGAAAGATAAGCAAAAATGATTTCCAAAAACCCCTGCTGCTGCCACGACTCCTCGAGCTGCTGCACAACAGCAGCTTGAGAGATGCTGCATGCAGTTCAATTGTGGCTTTCGCGAAGTCTGCTGCTGCTCCCGGAGCCCAGACACCGCTGCTGCAGCAGCAGCAGCAGCAGCAGCAGGGGGCGCTGCTGCAGCTGGGCTGGGCCGCGGCGGAGCAAAGAGCTGCGCCCAGCGGGGCCCCCACTGCAGCAGAAAGCCAGTTGCTGCTGCTGCTGCAGCGGGTGGCGGAGGCGGTTGCTGCAGCAGCAGCGGGCGAGGGCTCTGCAGCTGCAGTGCGAGCAGCTGCTGCTGCTGCTGCCGCTGCTGCCCACGTCTGCAGCCCCACAGACAGCAGCCTGCTTCCTGCTGCAGTCATGGCAGCAGCAACAGCTGACAGCAACAGAAGAGCTCTTGCCCAATACGCAGAAGAAATCCTCAGCTTTGTCACAGTTCGCTATTTGCTGCTTCACAAAGACACAGCAGCAGCAGCAACAGCAGCAGCAGCAAGGCCAGATGAGGCCGCGTTTGCTGCTCTCTCGGAATCCGCCAAAGCGAAAGCAGCGCAGCAGCTGCTGCTCGCTATACGGGTGAGGCCCAAACAGCAGCAAGAGACCTGATGTTGCTGCTGCTGCTGCAGCTGCTGCAGGCTGTAGCCGCTGCTGGTCCTGGTACTGCTGCTGCAACAGCAGATGCTGCTGCTGCTGCAGGCTGTAACTGCTGCTGCTGCTGCTGCTGTTTCTGTTTTTGGAAGTCCCCGCGGGTCTGGTAGCAGCTTCTGGGGCCTCTCTGGGCGCTGCTGCTGCTGCTGCTGCTGCCGCTTTTGGGTTCCCACTGATTTGCTGCCAGCTGCTTGTTTGTCTTTGCTGCTGCTGCTGCAGGCCTTTGCGCCTTTGTGCCCGCGGGCCCTCATGGAGACGAACGCCCGGCGCTTCTCTGCTGCTCTGCTTGCTGCTGTTTCTGCTGCTGCTGCTCCTGTTGCTGCTGCTGCTGCTGGCGGCAGCACTGGGGCCCCCCTGCTCGCCCCCAAAGAGTGTGGGGCCCTGCTGGACATCTGTGGGGCCCTCAGGCCCTTTGCAGCACCGGAGATCGGTGAGTGCTGCTGCTGCTGCTGCTGCTGCCCCTTGTGCTGCTGCTCCTGCTGCTGCTGCTGCTGCTGTGGGGAGCGGCTTTCTCTTGCGCTTTCAATCTCCAGGGTTTTGCTGCTGTAAGCAGAATTGTTCCTTCTTGCTGCTGCTGCTGCCGCTTCAGGCAGGGAGCTCTTCGAAGCAACACTGACGCTACTGCGTCGCTGCAACGAAGCCCTCAGCAGCAGCAGCAGCAGCAGCAGCAGCAGCAGCCGAGCTCTGCTGCGGACGCTGCAGCGGAAGGCCTACATGTCCTTAAAACATGCACTGGAAGATGGAGGAGAGCGCGAGGTGCGTGTCTTGCTGCTTTCCTGTCAAAACCCTAAACCCTAAACCCTAAACCCTAGAAGAGCGGCGGGCACACTCAGCAGTCCTTCAGCTATCCCCTACTTTCTCCTCTCCGTCATTCTTGGCGTCGAAGTTCAGGACCTGGGACGAGGGTTTAGGGTTTAGGGTTTGGGTTTAGGGCCTAGGGTCTAGGGTTTAGGGTTTAGGGTTTGTGTTGCGTGTGGGGGCGCAGCAGCTGCTGGGGGTTTGGGCAGCTCTTAAGGAAAGCTGCGGAACAGCAGCAGCAGCAGCAGATTTGAAGCAGCGGCTTTGCTGCCTGGAGGCGCTGCTGCAGTCCTTGGGGAAACACAAATCCGAGTTTTCTGAAGAGGGTTCGCCCAAACCCTAAACCCTAAACCCTAAAGCCTAGACGCCTCTCGCCCGGGTTGGTTGCGCGCAGCCAGCTGGCAGCCAGAGGAAACCCCGGGGTCTAGGGCCCAGGTTTCATGGCCTAGGGTTTAGGGTTTAGGGTTTGGAGCCTAGGGTTTAGGGTTTAGGGTTTAGAGTTTGCGGTTTGCTGCAGCATGGGGGCAGCTGCTGGGGGAGCTGCTTCCTGCTGCAGTGCCGGAGCTGCTGCTGTCGCTCAAAGACCTCAACAAAAAAGCTCGAGCAGCAGCAGCACAAACCCTCGACACTCTCGCCCAACTCTGCGAAGGCAGCCAGCTCCACTGTCCGCTGCTGCTGCTGCTGCTGCTGCTGCTGGTCTTGCTGTTGTTGCTTGTAGTCCGGCTGCTGCTGCTGCTGCTGGTCTGGCTGTTGCTGCGTGTAGGCCGGCCGCTGCTGCTGCTGCTGGTCTCGCTGCTGCTGCTCTTAGTCTTGCTGCTTCTCTTGCTGCTGCTGCTGCTTGTGTTGTTGCTGCTGCTGCTGCTGCTGAGCCCAGCAGCTGCCGTTGCCTTTCTCGGCTGTCTCTCTCCTACTGCGCGGCCGCGGCCCGCGGCTCCAGGACCTAGGGTTTAGGATTTAGGGTTTAGGGTTTGTGTTGCTGCTCAGTGTCTGCCCTTGTCACTTATGTTGCTGCTGGGTTTGGAGGCCTCACCCCGGAGACGGGGGGCCCCCAGGGGGCCCCGGGGGCCCCCCCCCTTTTGAAGTCTGCTGCTGCTCTTGCGCTTGGCCGGCTGTTTGACCTTTACTGTTCGTAAACCCTAAACCCTAAACCCTAGCTCTGCAGCGGAGAAGCCACAGCAGCTCGAGGGTTTGGCGCGTGGGCGGAGGGTGGCTGCAAACTTCTCGGCTGGAGTGGCTGGTCTTTGCACTTGGCCTAGCCTCTATGGTTTAGGGTTTAGGGTTTAGGGTTT